TGAGCACATTATATTTATAATTACCCGTCTACTGCTCTGAAAAAAACAAAGTAACAATTTGGTATATATAAATTCTTCCTCAGTGAGTTTTGAGGTCTATATTAAAGGTTTCTTATGTGCCTTTTGTTCTTAAGAAAAGTCACTTCCTGACAAAATGATAGGAATGTAGAAGATTCGTGGTTGCCAGGGGTTAAGGGGCGGAGGGCGGGGCGGGAGGGCAGTGGGTGTGGCTATAGGAGTGGCAGGATCCTTGCGGGACGTTTTGAATCTAGACTGTACCGATGTTGATATCCTGGTTATGATACGGTACTAGAGTTTTGTTAAATGTTAGCATTAGAAGAAGATGGGGAAATGACACACAGGACCTCTGTATTATTTCTTACAACTGCCTGTATAACTACAAAACTAAAACGTTTAATTAAAGAAGAAAAGTCATCGCTTTTGGACTGCTGCATTTTTTAAAAGACAAATGGGAACAATACAGCGGAATGGGCCGGTCGCCTGTGCTCAGTCAGGGTTTAGGGAATGTGTGGACGCAGGGGACATGTGACTCCTGGATTAAGAGGTGTGTGGCAATAGCACACTGGTGTGGGCGCCTCTGAAATGACAGCGAGGGTTCATGATCATCTCCAGTAATGTGGTCCTTCACAAGGACCATTTGTTACTGTAACTGTATGTTTGTTACAAACGTAAATGTAAGTGTCGTCCCTCGTGAAAATATACTATAGACTTTGAACCACTTTATCAGAAGTGACAGCTTTGGCAGGGAGCTCACGCATGCGCACACAGAGCCCAGCAGCATACATCTCTAGAAACATTGTGTTGGTGACTGACTTACAAAGGGACCTCTCCAGGAACTTAGCTCGTTAACCTGCTCTACAACTTCCATCCCGGATGGAAAATGAGGCAGCCTGATGCCCAGAAAGGAGAAATTCTGCACACAGCCTTGCGCTGTGTCTCGTGGAATTAGATCATCTACGCTCTAGTGTAAGACGTGGGGGGCGGTGGGGGGAGGAATTTATGGTGTTTGAAGCCATGGCATGGCCAGAACAGCTGCAAAAATTCCTTCAAGCCATTTCTAGGAGTCAGTTGTTATACTCGGCAGATAAAATTTTGTTACTTCTGCCCAAACTTCCAAAATACGGAACTAAAGGAAACCTTAGCAAACATTTGATAGCACTAGTCCCCTTTGATGATACATACATTGAAAAGTTTCAAGACCCAGTAACGCTATTTTTAGAAATATATATATTTTTTGTATTTTCTGTATTTTTCTAGGGAATCTTGTCAAGTTCTAATTTGTAAAAAACTCCTTAATGTAATAAAAGTTCAATAAATAAAGAACCAAAAAATGTATTCTGTTTTATCAGTAGACTTGTAAATGACATTTGTTCAACACATGAGGCTTTCATTTTCCTAAGTGATGAGGAAGCCCTGATTAAAGTTTTAGACTCAGAAAACAAGTATTAGGGGAAATGATCCAAATGAGTAGAAATGTTTTCCCCTTTCCTATTTTGGTTTAAAATAAAAAGTTTATTACATTATACCTGTGGTTAACTATATAACATTTAACATTTTTTTCCTTAAAAGGAAATATTAACTCAAATTGCTTCCAGATATAAAGTAAGGACTTCTTATAACATACCTTTAAAACAAAGCAGTAGTCAGTGGGTGCTTTATATTTCATTTTACACTGAATCCCATAGTAAATGTTGACATTTTCAAACTGTATAAAACAGGCCAGATCTCGGGATGTCTGAAAGAGAAGGAAAAAAATAACCTTAACTGAGTTGACAGTTAATATTTTTCCAAGGTTGTTCTTGATGGCACAATTACAGATGGCATTTTAGTAGAAAAATACTGAATTTTAGGTAATTTATTGAAGCATCTACCATGTGTAATTTTATAAAAGCCAAGCTTGCGTTTGAAGAAGTAAAAGGGTATGCTCAAGGCAAAGCCGTGTGCCCCAGGCCCAGACGCGCTGTGAGAGATTATACTGCTGACTTAGCACCTGCACGTGGACTCACAGCGTCAGAGGGGACTGGTTGACCTTGAGACATCATTATCGATGCTGTTGAGACAAGGTACCGACCTCTTTGTCAGAAATTTCATTGTGGCTTTTGCCATTTTAAGTCAGTGATGGATTTCATAAGTGAGCCTTAAAAAAAAAAAAGTCCCTCTTAGGAGGAATGACGAGAGGTAAATTTGATGCTCAGTAAATTAGCACACACTTCATTCACTTCTTCCTGATGAAAAAAGGTCCCTTTCATGCTTTCTCCTTAGGGCTGGAGGTGTTACTATGGAAACCGAAACCTCTCCTCCATGTATAATATGTTTGTGAAGACTGCAACCTCTAATCTACATATTTGGTTACACTTCAATTACAAATTTGTTCTAGTACTTTTTTTTCTCCATTGCATTCAATAATTCTTTACCTAGTTAGTGAATAAAGAATGAAGGGCAGAATCGCTACATCTCTGCACACAGTTATTCCTTTATATATGGTTGTACATTTTTTTCCTTGTACGATATTTTCTTCTGTATTTTCATACTTGATTAGACATGCTGCAAATGTATTCTCTGGCTCTGTAGCTAGTCTTTAACTTCTTGTTTGGCTCTTTGGGCATGAGGAATTAAGAATAACTTTATACAATCAAATCTGTTGATTTTTCTCCATAACTTTGAGTTTTTGTCTTGCTTAAGAAAGAAGGCTTTCCCCACTCCCAAATTATGAAAATAGTAATCTATATTTTCTTCTAAGATTTTTGTATTCCTTTTCCCCTAAATATATTTAATCCATATAGAATTTAATCTGGAACATGGTATGAGGTAGGAAACTATATTTTCTAAGTGAATATACAATTATTTCAATGCTATTTATTGAATACCACCTTCTTTCCCCACTGCTGTAAAATCCTCGCTTTAATTTCCTTCATATTAGATGGCTCTCTGTTCATCTGTTTGTCTCTACCTGTCCTGCTTTTATCTAATATTTTGACATCTTGGAGGAAGAGTTCTACTTCAGTGTTCTTCGCAATTTGGGGGGCGGTGTATTTTGGAACAGTGTCTCTTTCTGATGAATTTTAGAATCAGTCTGTGAACTTCAAGTAAAGATAATCTTATTGAAATTTTTTCTTGGGCTTGAATATATCAAAAAGTTTGGGGGAAAATTAACATCTTTCTCAGCTAGTAACATGGTATATATTTTTTAATTCAATTCTATTTCACTTTCTTTATTAAATTTTATATTTCATGCCATATAAGTCTTGGAAGTTTCTTGTTAAGTTTAATGTTATGTATTTCATATTTTTTGTTCCTATGCATGGAAATTTGGTATTATACATATTGTTTGTATATATTGTTTAAGTTGTCCTATACTATTTGTTAAATAATCATGTCACCCATGAATAAAGAGAGTTTTGCCTCTTTTCCAATAACTGTACTTATTCTTTCTTTTGACTAGTTCCTCCATTCAAATGTTAACGGCAGCAGTGAGATAAAGCACCATAGTCCAGCTCCAATGAGAACATTTTAAATTTTACCACTAAGTGCGTTGTTTGTGATAGGTTTACTTATATGTCTCGTTTATAAGTAAGACACAACATTTCTAAAATAAAACAAATTATTTCTGAGTCAACTCTTATGTCCCCAATGTGGGACTGGACTGAAGATGGCACCGATGGGAAAGTATCAGCTCTAAGATTAAGACTAAGTAGGAGCAGTCGCTGCCCTGGACCAAGCATTACCCATAATGCCTCTCCTGCATCCCCACAGAGAAAACAGAGTCTCCTAATGGACTCTGGGAGAAAACCTGGATACTCACCATGACTTTGCCTGTGTGGGATTCAAGGTCAAGCCTTATTAGAAGGCTGCAACCTGTAAATATGCCATTTAATGGTAGCCTGGATTGGGCAGTGAAGGCAAAATGCTTCAGCTTATCCCAGGTATAGATGAGAGAGATATTCTAAAGTTTTTAAAGGGTAAACGAAAGATGGAAATGCTCCAGGCCTCTAAGAAAGGTCTTTGAAAAAACTAATGGTTGGAATGAAAGTTAAAATTACATTTCAGAGAAGAATTTACTATATGCTTGTAGATTTGAGGCAATAATCCTAAATCACTAAGTAGAAGTTAAATGCTGTCTAAGACACACTGCTAAATTAGGCAGGAAAATGCATATGGTACAACTTAAATGTTCAGCGTGTAAGAGCTAAATCTAAATGAAGTTCTGTCAAGACTTCTAATGCCTCTGATCCCAGGTAAAAGAAGTTTTACTACAATGACTGTAGAACAAGAGAGTAAATATAGGGGAAAAAAGTCCTCAGGAATAGATATGTAAAGAAACAAATTAATCTCTAGAAGAAAAATGCTTAGGCTATCGTTTTTGAAACCTGGCTTTAAAATAGGTGAAATTCTTCGCCTTCAAGAGAGAGCTATGGGAAACATTACAAAAGGATTTTTTTTTGTAATTCTGTCTGAATAGGATATATATGTGTATAAACATTTTAATAACATGATTCTCACAGCAAAAGAGAGTATATTTAAAATGCTACTTGAATTTCTTTAGTTTCACTTTCATGAAATGCCTTTTTGCTAGTTTTTTTTTCTTTCTTTCTGACCTTAGTCTTTCCTTTGGGTACGTAATAAATTCCAGAAGCTCGTAAAAGAAAATAACGCCTTTTCCAGTTTTTCTTTCCATCTTCTTTCAGATTAAGAGCTCCTTCAAGTTCCGGTACGATGACGGATGTTCCGCAGAAACTTTCCTGAAATCGGGATTCCGATTATATAAACACATGAGAGAGAAAACACATTTTGTTCACATTTAAACCAACTGTAGCTAAAAGCAACAACAACAAATTAGGGCTAATTAGGCTTTAAGGTAAACGTCATTTCTGTCTACAACCCTGATTGAATGCATGTTTCCATTGCATGCTGTTTGCCAAAAAAAGAGTGAAAATTCCACGGTACCTAAGTGTCTCTTGGCTCCTGAGTTAGACTTAAAGGCTTCTCGACCACTTAGCTCTGTGATCATGGGCAACTCACTACACCTGTTTCTTTACTTGCAAAAATGAAGTAATAATAGTCCCAATGTCGTAAGGAAGGTTGTGAGTACGATTTTGGTATATTGTAAAATTAAGCATTACAGAGAGGCTATTACTGTTATGATAATGGTAAATAGCAAAGTTATTAATTTTCCTATAAGCAAAAGAAAGTTATTACTATTTCACTGCTAGGAAATAGAAAAATTACAATATATAATTCTATCTATAAAGTATGTGTAAGTTAATTTATTCTCGGGATGGTTGTTTTATTAATATGTCTCATTTATAGGTTATACTATGGTATCAGAAAAGAATAGTGCCAAAGTAACATTTTTTAGGTGTAGATTTTCAAATGTCAAGACTTCTGTAGATTTACAATTCTTGGTAAATTTCTTTTAAAAAGCAATGCAGTAAAATTGCATATTATTCCATCTTCCAGTTCAAATACTCAAACTTAGTTTTTGCTTTTTTTTTTTTTT